GAGACACTGGGAAAATACATTCTTGGAAATAGGAAACCTAATGCCCTGATGACAATTCTTTTAACCACTGCCTAGAACTCCAGAGAAACACAGACTCTTACCAATGTGCCTCCTGGGTCCTACCTCTGCTGCAGTCTGTCACTCTTTCTCTAGACACTCACAGCTTCTCCAACCACTTCCTCTCCTCTCTGAGTTTCTCAAATGGTGCAAGACTTCCTTTCTTCCTTTCCTGTTTTACATTACAAAGAGAAAATATCTAAAATATTTTTGCCTTTAGGAAGATTCATCCATTTAGTAACGATGTGAATAATGGGAATGATATTTTATTAATAATATTATGTAAAAAATCAGGTTAAGGACCGGAGCCTGTAATTTCCATTTAGCATCCACACACCTCATCCTCAGGGGAACTGATGTAAAGTGAGTGGGTGTGAATATGGGAACCTTAGAATGAATGAATGAATGAATGAATGAATGAATGAATGTGTGTTAAAAGGAAAATTCTTTAGTGATGAGAAATTCAGGGGACTGTAGTGTTAAAGCATCCATTCAATATATAAATGGAAAGATGAAGATTGGAAAGATCCATGGCAGTTCCTAGCTCTATTGAACAGAGTGACCCCACAGCTGTCCTAGGTAAGGTGAGGCACAAAGGCACCTTACCTGGTGAGTAGCCCAGGAGCCTCCTACAGGCACTTTAGGCTCAACTTCTTTCACCAGCTACATGGCTCTCTGAGTCTCCATGCAGGAGCCTTCCTAGGATCAATAGATTTACATACCTTATGAGAAGCTAGAGAATTAGCTCAGTGCTTGGTCTGTTGTGTACACAGTGTGTGAGGACTATGTTGCCTGGAATGCTTTCCAGGACACATGGTCATTGACCATGCCTGACCTTCCTGTTTAAACTGAATCTTCTCTGAGCACAGGGGACCCCACTCATCAGAGTCCTTATATTATTTCAGAATCTGATCCTGTTGTTCACAGTAGAGACAGTTCTATGATTTGATGGTGCCCATCTTATTTGGGTCAGAGTACACTCTGTATTTAAATCTACACATCACAGTTGAAAATCCTGATTTGAACAGTACAAATATGCCTACACACATTGGTGTAGACTGATTTTCTGGAAAACTCTTCCGTGATGTGAAGAGGCAGCCCAATGTAGGGAGTGCAGCCCTTCATGACACTCTGCTCTTGCTCAGTGTGACTCTGACCTCCTTGGTTTCTCACTGCCCCCTGTCTTCATAAGGACACCTTGCAGGGGGCATGTGTCCAGACTCATACATCAATCTTCTCAATGTGACTCTTTGACACAGTTGTGCATGGTCATATCATTGACTTTCAGACAGTCTGTTATGAGGTACAGAATGCACTTGTAATTGTATCTGGAGATGGGCAATTGCTTCTTTACATAATTTGTGTATTTATTTTAGACACCAGGCTTACATGTATGACACCACTCCGGCCCCTTCCTGGAGTCTGGCCAACCCTGTGCATGTAGCAATCACTACAGGTGAATCCAGATGCCACACTGTGGAGTTAGGGTGCTGCCCCAGTGTGCACCAATCTTCTTACAGGCTCCACCAGTTTCAGCTCAAACACCTGTAAACACCGAGTCTCTGGTCAGGAAACTGTCACACATGGCCCCCCGTCCCTCTCTCTTCACTCACACACTCAGCTTCTCTTCATTGTCACAGATTGACTTGTAAAGAGCAAGAAGGAAAATCCAGCTGAGTCACAATTCCACAGTGAGTGTTCTATGTTCTGTGTTTATCAGTGAATGGACAGACCTGGGAATGCCAGGATGGGCTGCTCTGCAGGATCAGGCATGGGACATTTTCCTGAACAGAATAAGGCTGTGGCTGCAAATTTTCCAGCTATATATGTTCTCTTGAGCTGGCATGAAAAGGAGATTATGCTCATTTAGAGCTCATGACCATGGTGGGCACTGTAGCAATGAGAACATTGAAGAAAATCTAACCTACAATGCGGTTGTCCTGTATCTATTCAACACTCAAACTTCCCGAGACTCATTCATGTCCTCATGGATCCTTAGATAACAGAGTTCCATGTTTACAGTTCAGCAAGGATGCCTGGTTCTCAACAATGTTGTTTACAGTTATATAGAGCACCATATGTTGTTTCTCTTCAGAAGAATATCTGAGGCATGGGAGCTTCATACTCAGAAACTCTTCCCTAGAAATTGAGGGATCTCACAAGTATGCCTCTGCTCCTTCCCAGTTTTGGCGTTTTAAATTGTCCCAATTAGAAACATTGTCATCAAATGTTGAATGCCTTGTCTTAAATTCATTGTATCCTCACATATTTGGCTAGCACTCTATTGAGCCTGCTGTTTTCAGATCATGCGGAATCCTACAGTATAACTTGGGGACCGCATGACCTCAGGGTGTGGCCACACGAGGTGGTTCCTTTTTCATCACACCTATGCATCTATCCTTGACGTACATCCTTGGATGAACAGAAGACACCAAGAGGAAAGGAACCTGTCAATGTCGTTCATCTCTAACAATGTGTGATCCAGCAGCACAAACTCTTAAACTGTTCCCTCTGATCAAGCGCATGTTCTTTGTAGGCTCTGGTTAAATGAAACTATGTTGATGATTCCCCGGTGAAACTGTATAAACATAAATACAAAGGCACATATCACAATGGAAATAGATTTTAAATAGAAATTAGGACATTTCAAAGATTATTACAACATAAGTGCAGAGAGAATCACTGAGTGTGATATGGAGAGGCAGCACAGACATTGAGGAGTCCAACCCTGTTTGCCTCTCAGAAGAGGCTCTTCTGTGAGCCAGAGCCCTGTGTGCTCTCAGCGCCCCCTGTTGGTCCTGAGACGTATAGGGAGTTTTATGTCTGAGCTCTCAGCAGCTTTCACTCACTGTGTCTCTTGCACAGTAATACATGGCCGTGTCCTCAGACTTGAGATTGTTCATTTGTAGGTTCAGGGTCTTCTTGGTGTTGTCCCTGGAGATGGTGAATCGTCCCTTCACAGTGTCTGCATAGTAGATTAATAGACTAGTACCACTAATGCTTGAGACCCACTCCAGCCCCTTTCCTGGAGCCTGGCAGACCCAGTGCATGTAATGGTCACTGAAGGTGAATCCAGAGGCTGCACAGGAGAGTTTCAGGGACTTTCCAGGCTGTGCTAAGCCTCCCACAGACTCCACCAACTGCACCTCACACTGGACACCCGCAAACACAGAAAATTCTAGTCAGAAATCTGTCACAGATCCTATATTTTTTCTTTTTTCTCATCTGCACAGAACACACAGCAGTTCGTCTCCATAAGTTACCTTTTAGAATAAGGACAATGAAACCAATTTGAGTCCTGAGTTCATGGCAAGTGGCATGTGTTCAGTGCTGATCACAGAACGGGAGGACCTGGGAATCCAGGTCTGGGCTCCTGTGTCAGAGCTGCAGGGTCAGGGCAGGGCTGGTTTTCATGGGCACAGAGAAGCCTCATTTGCATGTCTTCCTGCTATGGCAGGCTCTGGAGTTGGGCAGTGCTCAGAGCAGATGTAAGACATCAAAGACAATGATGTCAGTTTCAGGAAGTGACACAGTGTGGCAGCTACAGGTGCAGCTTTCCCTTGTTCAGAGTCCACCATGTTCCTCTTAGTTCTGTCTGTGTCTGTGATCTGAGCATGCTGTGTGCATATACAGTCATGTCTCCTCAGTATGAACGTGAAGTGCAATGGGTCCACACACAGTTTTGTTTCTACACAAGAGCTCTGTCTGTCCCACTGCCTGGGATGGACCTGGATCCTCCTGGATTAAATTCTTGGTCTTGGTCAGACATGCCTACAACGTTTGTCATAATTCCTTCTCTATGATAAGGACATGGGTTTTCTTATTTTCCATTAGTGTCATCCAAACATGGGTTCTCACAATTCCTTCTCCTTGGTGAGCACATGTGAGTCTTTCCTGATGTTTACTCATTGCTGAGAGCATTTTGCTCAGGAATTTGAGAGTTGCAAATGTGAGATCCCCTGTCACTGTCTGTCTGCTGCTCAGTGTTTGCTGTGGATTCAAATGCCTATTTGCAGCAAACTCAGTTGTTTTGATTCCTGATTTTCTTCCTTAGATTTCTTAAAATTCCTTCCACTGTCCTCGTCATCTTTCCACCAGGAAACAAATAACTGTCTTTCTGCTGTTAGACTTTTTCATTTCCCAAACTTGATACAATTAGCATATCCAAGGCTTTTCATTAATATTTAGGATGCCTAGAACATTAAACTATATTTTAAATGAAGTGCATAGTTACAACACCTTAAACAAGAGTAGAAACATGTACACACATACACGCACACACACACACACAGAGTATATCAAAAATAACCTTAAATTTGTATCACTATACAAATATCCATATCAAAGTAAAATAGTTGAGACTAGAAGTTGTTTTTTAGTTCAAAAATAGACTCAAGAATCCAGCCTCTAATCCCATCAGTTCTATATCCCCTATTTTCCATTCATAATGAGACACCTGAATACAATCCCATTTTTTCAGCTTCTTTCATGAAAAATGACTAAAAAACCTTGTACCCAATCCTACCCAATGATGACAAACAACCATAACCCTCTTAGTAACAAAACAAATCCCATTTACCCTCTCTCTAATGTGGGTGTTGTGTTCACTAGATGGCTTCTTGTCGTCTCTGGGTGCATGGTTCCCTACAGGTCCCTGAGAAAACAGGGATGATGGTCAAGTCCTGGAAGAGCTAGCTGTATCATTTTGTTTAGTCTCTCGTGATGGGACAGTGTAGAGCTCATCTGAAATCTTGGCTTGAGAGTCTGTGAGGCTGGACCATCTCAGATAGCAACTCTGAAGTTGTTTGGGATGCAGAATTTTGAGGAAACTGTAGCAGGGACACTATGAGAGCCTGGATTATCTGGGATCTTTGTCTTCACTGGTGTTTGGTTCATTTTTTCTGAAAACACACAAATTTGTAAAGGTAACATTTACATCTGCTTCAAAGCAAGTATGGAATGTGCAATGTATACAGCTCAGCTAAAGGTGACATTTTATTCTATGTTTGAGCAGGTAAAAGGCATCTGCTAATTTTATAAATTTTTTTGAACTGCATAACCAAACCTCTATCCACACCATATGAAAGGATGACATTCAATAATAAGTCATGAGGACTCTGAAGCCAACAAGATTAATCATGTCTCATTACGTCTCATCAGAGTTGGTCCCAGGTAGAAGGATGAACATATATGTCACCATTTTTGTAGTTTTTTAATGTGTTTTATTCGCAAGAAACCCTGTGTATTTCCCAACATTATGTAGCTTATTCTTTTTGTATTAATTTATTCTTTCTTTAAAGAACTTGCTTATTATTTGTAAACTGATTATTTTTTCTATGATTGTATACACACACATTTACTGAATCTGTTGAAAGGTTTTCATGTTCTGGAGTGTTTTATTACTGTCTGCAGCATTCTCTGACAATGTGAGCCAAGCCTTGAGCCTGCTGTGCAACTGTGCAAGTGGCACTGGCTGGCTCAAGCCCCCAGGCAACTGCATGGAGTGCTTCTCTCCTCATAGCGTGCCTGAAAGGCTGTGGACTAGAAAGCTGTCTCTGGCTCCTTGTTGGTATGTTTGAATAGCTTTTAAGCTTTCTTGGTTCCTATGTGGAAATAGGCACCCCCATGTTGCATTCCTTCTTTCCTTTGCTCAGAAGTCCCTCCTATAGCTCTTGCCTGGATATTGACCATTCAGCTTTTTATTATATCAATCACGGCAACACAGCTACACAGTGTTCAAATATTCTAAAACATAGGCAGGTCTCTGACAGGGGGAGGATGGCAACATTCATGATTTTTGCATTTCATGTATCTGTTACAAATAAATTCAACATTGTTGAGTAGCTGCTGAGTTTCAAGACAGTGGGACACAATGGTCCTGTGTAAAACAGACTTCCCACCCTAGAAGACACAGGCAGTGTGAAAGCAATGCCTGAAGAAAACAATCCATTAGTATGAAAAACAGAGAGAGCAGGAAGATCTACTGCCGTTAGAGAAATTCAGCAAACCTATGTACAAGGGGAAAAGGCCAGGAGAACTCACTCACAAGCATAAACATTGTCAGTATGTCTGTCCCTAAGTGGCTGATAGAACCATGTAAGGGCAAATTGACAGACACCTCAGGGACACAATGAATGTTTTCTGCCTTACAGTACAGTGTTTTCATGGGTGTTCATTCACCTGTGATCCAAACAAGACACGTGTCAGTAAGCAGATGTTACGGTGTGCCCACAGCACCTCCATACATCATTGTTAAACAATGTAACTAATGTGAATTCTGTCCCTTCTTTCACTCAAGGACCAGCCCCAAGCTGATGATGCCTAGGAGAAGGAGCACAGGGATGTGAGAGCTAGAAGCGCCATTCAGTGAGGGTGTCTTCATGAGGATTCACACCTCAGACCTTTAGACAGGGGATCCAGCAGTGACACAGAGTGCAGTAGTGAGATGAGAAAATTAAACTGGAAATGCAAAAATCCATTTCTTTGTCTACTCACCCATCCGTGAGCTACTGGATGTGACTGAACCTGATTCCCTGCAGGAACCCTAATATGCTGTTGAACCACTGAGAAGTTTCTCCATGGCTGGATGTGCAGTCAGATCCTTCCCTCTCATGTTTGCAGCAGCTCTGTTAACCACAGCATGAATTCCATATAGAGTTGAATGAACCTTAAAGGACATATTATGAGTGAAAGCCAGTCACTGAGAGAACAAAAGGACTCTTATCAAAGTTACCCTTAAAAAACCAACAAAAAAGTTCTCAGATTAAGTAACATTGAGAGAAGGTTGTCCCTGTGTTACACACTGTAGACTGAGAAGACTAGACAGTTGTATTGGAAGGACTATTCAAACCATGAGTTGTGTGGATATTGAACATAGTTAATATGATGTTATGTTCTTCATATATACAGAGAATTGATTTTATAAGGTTATCACCCCGATACATTAATTTGTAGTCGCTCAACAGTGCACTTGTATGTGAAAACTATCATAGTTGGGGTAAATGCAATCAGTTTTGAACATCATTAAGTACAATAGTGTAGGAATGTAACAAAAAATACAGACAGTAGAGAAATACACCCAATAGGATCATGTCTGGTGCTTCTTAGATACACAGTACTCTAGCAAGGAGTCTTCATAAATAACAACTGCACAGATTTTTTATTTTACATCATTAAATTTCAACATTTAATTATATGCAAAATTTCTAAAATGTAAACAATGGCTTATCACATTGCTAATTATACCACTGTTAGATTCATGAGTATACTATGAATCTATTTTTTAAAAAATAGCTGGAATCTTCTCATCACAATTGCAATGCCATTATAGTTGTTGATATTTTTATTTTTTACGTGAGAGTTAAGAAATTTACAAAGTTCATAAATCACTGAATCAACTAGATGGGAATAATTGTTATAACATGGTTTAAAGTGAGAGCCGAACATAACAGATCTGAGGCTACCAGCAACG